CATGGTAAGAGAGCAGGAAAAGATGAGAAAGGAGAACAATTTTTAGAGAACAAAATTTTCCGTTGATATAAGGATTCGAACCCCGGCCCTATTGAAAGAGGGGCAAACACCGTAACCTCTAGACCATGAGAACCCTGGGCCCCAAACAACGCAAATGACAATAAGTCCACAACATGCTCCATTCTCCAGCTCTGACGCAGCTATTTTAAGTGAATTGTCTACTTTAAAAAAGAAGAAAAACAAAACAAAAACAAAAATTATTGAGATAATTAGCTGCAACAATGGGTGCAGGCTCCTGTATTATCTTATTATTCTACAGTAGGAAGAACCCCCCCCCCCCCCCCCAACCAAAAAAAAACCTACCAAAAAAAAACACAAACGGGTACTGGCATAACTGTTCCAGGAAAATTTTGTATCAACGACGTTAAAGAAACAATGTTACACACTTACATCGTATGGTATTAATCTGTAATACCCCCCCCCACCCACCCCCACCCCCATCCATTGTTATGAAACAAGAGAAAAAGAAAAGAAAAGAAACGGCTATTCAACCCCTACTGGAAACGCAGTAGTCTCTATCTGTTACTTAATCACCTTCTTTTCACTAGCTTTAGGCAAGATTCAACCAGTTAACTCTCTGATTTAACGCTCAACAGACAGTGACAAAAGGCCTAAAGCCAACTTCAGGACCGCAACTCGTTTCCGAACATAATGCCTCGACCTGAATACCCAAAAAAGTGAGACATGAGTACACGGCAAGTTGGGTATCCCTCTGCTAATTGTTCCATACCTCAGGTAATGACTAGAGGCTTTTAATGCCTGTTTAACCAGCGCTTTGATGTCGAGGATATCTTTTGTGATGGATGCTGCTTGACAAACTGGATTTCTATTGTTTCACTCCTTCCATGAAGGACTGTTGTTCTCCTAAAAGTTTTATGGGATTAAAAAAAACCCAAATACTGTGCCCTCTGTGTTTCCCAGTCCAAACAGGTTATCGCAACTGGTGTAAATATTGGAAGATATATGAGCGCGCGTGGCACATTAAGCATTTTCATTCTGGTAAAGAATAAATTTTGAATTTTGCCCGGGCGGCCGCCGAAGCCTACTCTTACATATTTTTACGACCACCAAGGGATCTTTAATTAACGTGCACACGGGATCTTCTAGTTTTTTTTCGCCCTTATCCAAGAAGGCTAAGATAAGTGAAAGTTGCTGAAAGACAGCAGTCAAAAGGAGCCAAGGAGTCGCAGTAGAAAGGCAGTAGAAAGAGTCAGGACCCCAGAGGAATGGGGGGGGGGGGGCGTGGGTGGTGAACAGGAAATGGAGACGAAAGCAGATTACAGAACATGATTAGAGAGCAGAAGAGGTGAAAGAATAACATTTTAAAAGAAAAAACACTTTCAGTCGCTGATAAGGGGCCCATACACGTTTTTTTCGGGGGTTGGGTAAGTGTTTTACGGCGCACGCAACTGCATAAGGTCATATGAGCACGCGGGGCACACCAAACCATTTTCAATTGGAAGGAAATTTTGAATTTTGCGTGGGTGGCGGCCGAAGCCTACTCTTATCGATTTTGGACCACCAAGGGATCTTTAACGTGCGCAACTTGCACACGAGACCTAGGAGATTTTTCGCCCTTGTCCGAGAAGGCAAGGTGTAGATCTTTCCTATTAGAAGATCAGGGGTGTGGCTGAAAGACAACAGTAAGAAGGAGCCAAGGAGTAGTAGTAGAAAGGTTGCAGAAACAGTCAGGAGCACAGTAGAGAGGGCAAAGGAGGTGAGGGGGGTAGAGGAAGAAAGTGGAGACGAAAGCAGACGACAGAATGTTGCAAGAGAGAAGGAAAAAAGGTGAAAGGAAACAATTATAGAGAAGCAAATTTTGCCGTCGCTACCCGGATTCGAACCCGGGACCTTTGAATGAGAGTCACCTGCTAAATATAAAAGTTTGATCAAAATTTTTTACGGGAGCTCACACACGCATAAACAATTTGACGACTCGTCAAAAAATATCACACCTCTTCGATCCGTCTAAATTTTAATTCAAATCTTTTTTTGACATCAAAACGCCCTACACACCGTCAAATTTTGAACCAAATCAAAATTTTGACGCTCTTTTGAACGTGTATAGTCCCCTTAAGGCTTCGAACCCATGATCTACTGAATGAGAGACTCCCCCCCCTGCCCCCCCCCCCCAAAAAAAAAAACCCAACAAAAAAGCAACAACAACAACACCTGCCTGGTTAGAGCACTGTTGACAAATGTGACAACTCTCTGTATATTTGTATTGATATGATCAAAAAGTGCCCGACTCTGGTAGTGCGCGGCTTAAATGTTCTCCCGTTCATCGGTCTACGAAGATTGGGGAGCGCTGACGCCGATAAATCGAGATCTACAAAGCCTATAAATGACTTCTACAAGCCTACAGGAGCTTCACTTGTAGCTGCATTCATTCCTAACTTAACAACAAAAAAAAGAAGCCATAAAATTTTCATACAATATAACTAATAAGGAAAAAAACTGAGCAATTTTTTATAATGCAGAAGCGCTTGAAGAAAATTGTCACTTTGGTCAAAAACGTTCAAACCAACAAACTAGGCCACTAATAGAAATGGCCAGAGATCATGTTCAGAAAATCACGAGCTGCATGGTTTGAGTGATCAGAACTGGGTCCTAAGTGATGATTTGACCACTTACATCTTGTTAACAATGTACTCGTTACCAAAGGCTGTAAATGCTACTTTCACACCCCCCCCCCCTCCCTTCCGGTGAGCAAGATGCAAAAGATACCATATGGTCAATAATAATAATGTGAAAATTAGTAAACAAAGAAGGTGTCCATTTGTTCCACTAACCCTGTTTTGAACCGTGCTATAGGCTTATGCTCGTATTTGTAAAATATTGTTAAAATATCGATATCAACTGAATACCGATCTACGAAAGCCCTCAAATCAAGTCCAAGACAATGTTCCTTTTCGGCTGATCAGGGCCGAAACAAGTACGACAAGATTCGAGAGAACAGATTCTCACTTGTAAACCCCCCCCCCCCCCCCCCCCTACACTCCTTTCGTGAATCTAACCCACCTCTGGTTTCCTTCCCAAAGTTTCAAAAGTGATATTGCCACTATCAAGTTCATGATATTTTTGTATACATATATATTTTTTTTTTTTTTAATTTTTTTTTTTTTTTTTTTACGTTGTCTTTCATACGCGTGCCTCACTGGCTTTTCAGCCATTTCATTAATTATTTGTACTGAAAATGAAACACTGTATTTTACTAACAAAGCAAAAAATCTGGGAGTGTATTTTGATTCAAAATTGTCAATGGAACATCATATCAATTATTTATGTACCATTTTATTTTGTGAATTGCGTAGAATTGGTCATATGTCTATGTTTTTGAACGAACACTCGTTGAAAACGCTCGTGTCATCTTTCTTGTTTTCACGCATCGATTATTGCAATGCTTTACTAACTAACTTACCAAATACCTCTCTTCACAAGTTACAACGTTTTCAAAATCATGCTGCTAGGCTTGTACTAAAGAAAAAGAAGAGGGACCACATTACTCCCATGTTAAGAACGTTGCATTGGCTTCCCGTGTCAGCTAGAATGTCATATAAAATTGCAATATTATGTCATAAATGTGTCAATAACAAAGCTCCCTCATATCTTTGTGATCTCATCCAGATTTATGTTCCATCTAGATCACTAAGATCAGGCGACCAGTATCTTTTACGAATTCCTAGAAAAGGCGGTAAAAAATTAGCCGAAAGATCGTTCGCCCACCTTGCTCCGTCAGTTTGGAACTCTCTTCCCCAACCCTTGAGACATACAACATCTGAGTCTAAATTTTAAAAAATCTTTAAAGACACATATAATGACATCCTTTTTAAGCCAGTAGATTCATGTTCAATACAATGTTATGTAAATGTCTATGTATCCATTTATGTATTTTGTGAATTGCAGTGTATATATTATTTTATTCTCATTTCGTGACGATGTGTAATCGTGTGCGTGTGATAAGCAAGTAGATGTGTGTGTGTGTGTGTGTGTGTGTGTGTGTGTGTACGTGTGTGTGTGTGCGTGTGTGTGTGTGTGTGTGTGTGAGTGTGTGTGTGTGTGTGTGTGTGTGTGTGTGTGTGTGTGTGTGTGTGTGTTTGGCATACATGTGTGCGTGTTATGTGTTCGTGAGTGTGTATGCGTGTGTTTGTGTGTGTGTATATGTATATGTGTGTGTGTCTGTGTGTATATGAGTGTGTGTGTGTGAGTGTGTGTGAGTGTGTGTGTGTGTGTCGCGTGCATGAATATTTCTCTTACATGCATTTATATAAAGCGCATAGAGCTGTGTTTACACGGGAGTGGGCGCTATAGAAATGATCTTCGTTATCATTATTATTATTATTATTATTTTCATGTGACTTCACGTTCGGTCAGGCCAACTTCTTAGCATCCCATCCGACGTCTCTGAACTGAAGTAGCAAGACGACTGTGGCATCAACGACAATAACGGCAGCAGCATGTGACCATCACATCAAAAACAATAACGGCAGCATGTGACCATCACATCAAAGACAATAACAGCAGCATGTGACCATCACATCAAAGACAATAACGGCAGCAGCATGTGACCATCACATCAAAGACAATAACGGCAGCAGCAGCAACCAGGATAACCAGAACAATGACAGCGAAAGGCATCTCAAAAGTATCATCGGTAGTTTCAGAGATGAAAGGATTGACGAGAAGGAATAGGAGGAAGAGTAGGAGGAGGAGGCATAGGAGGAAAAGAAGACGTAGAAGGAGGCGTAAGAGGAGGCGTAGAAGAGAAAGGGGAGGATCAGGCGTAGGAGGAGGAGGAGCATGGCGACGAAGAAAAAACCCAAGGACGACGACGATGGCGAAAACGAAGACGACGACAAAATCGTCGACAACTATACCTTATATTGAAAACATCCTAAACGACTAAACAAAGTGTTCAATCCATCTCTATCCTAACATACCTTTGCTTTTTTTTCAAGTGGCTAAACTCCAGGTCAGAAAGTCACAAAAACAACACTGTTATTTCGTCACGACATGGAGTTGACTAACTACCCCGGTACCTCGCGAACTCTGCCGATGCCAGTGCCAACACGCACTTCATAAAGGCTTTTTGGTGTGGATGATGACGTCAGCTGCAACCATTCAAATGTTTCGATACCACAAGCGGGGTCTCTCTGTCCTAGAAATTAATAATTCGATTTCACCTCCAATA